TCTGAACTTCGCCACAATGACGAACACAGAAGGTTACCAGCCCCTGAATAGGTAGATACGGCGACGACATCGCGGGAGAGACAAAAAATACGTTTTCTTTCTTTGTCAAGCCTTTGTATTTTTTCCTGAGCACAATACGTTTACTGAAGAATGGGGATCGATCTGGACAGTTGGAGGTGTAGAATTGGGTGTTTTAAGATGCCCAGGGTCACAGACAAATTGAACATGTTAGCAAGTACATGTCGGAGACAACATGGACTCAGGTATGGATCTCGCCTACAGGCTGTACACAGTTAGTGTCACGTTAACTGTCATTATGCTGATGAGTCACAGTCTACTGATATACAGTGTTAATCCCGAACATATTTTCTCTAATTTACCCAGCACAGACAACTTTAATTATTGTCAAGAAATTTCAAGCATGTGCACGTGCGAGATGAGTTGCACGGACTCTACAATGTTTACATTTGATGCAAGATGGCAGCTTCTGTTGTCGGGTGACATCGAGTCCAACCCAGGACCAGGCCCCAACACAAGGGGGAAGGGATCCCAGCCGGACACCGAGGCGGACAACAGCGTGAGTGAGTCTATAAAAGCACTGACTGGCCAATTTGATGCGTTGAATAAGACAATAGCGTCTATGAGTGAAATGCCAACGAGCCTGAAAAATACAGTGGGCCAAAACAATGCCAAATTAAATAATCAGTTGGAACAAATTCAAACCGAAAATAGAGATCGATCTTAAGAAGATAGTGACGTCTCAGGCAAACACTATCACTACTTTAGAGGCCAAACTTGATAAAACTGAGAACTACTCCAGAAGAAATAATTTGATTTTATTTGGAATGGAAATGGAAGGACGGTAGGAAGAGTCTGGTGAATCTAAAAAGGAAAGTTTATTCATTTCTGAAGGATATGTTATGTCTACAAAATGGAGATGATATTTTTTCGACACTGTCCACAGATTGGGTACAAAGCGTGAACAGGGGGGACCCGCCTATCATGGATGAAGTTCGTCTCCAGAGACGACAAACTATGCATCCTCAATTGCTCCTAGGCAGAGTTGAAAGGCAACACAACATTCAGAATATGCAGTGTCAGCACCGTTAAACAAGTTATGAAAACAACTCATAAGGGTGTCTCTCGCAAGGGAGGCAAATCAGCTCCTACTCACAACGACAATCTCATAGATGATGTCTGATGTGGACAGGCCAGCCGAAGATAAGTATTTTCATTGTAGTAACAGAAATAAATTTAAATGGAAAAATGAAAAAATCACAATTATATCTTGATAACCTGCAAAATGCTGATACAAGTGATTTGTTTCAGGACTTTATAAGCAGTCTACATGTCAACACTGACAAAGCATTAAACATACTGCAGCGCATTCTGCAAACCTGTGGGCGAGATATGGAATGTAGACAACCCAAAACCATCAACGCTAAACAACAACCAGAATGGTTTGATCAACAGTGTCAGACTCTTAAACATGAAAAGTATAAACTGCTTAATGTGTTTAGAAAAACAACAACATTTGAGAATCTGAATAGATACAAAGACATTAGATCTCAGTTCAAACAGACTTGTAAAACTAAGAAAGATAGTTATAAACGTTCCGTTACTCACATCATACATGATGCAGCTTGTTCCAGAGACTGCTCAGCATTTTGGCGACTTGTAAAAAAATATACCACAACTCGCGCCATGGAAGAAAGTGTAACGCCATCAACATGGGCTGAATACTTTAAGGACTTGTTAAACCCAACGTTGCCAGAAGATGGCAACTTTCATATGTTGATAAACATGACTTTCATACATGTGTTGATTGTATCAATGACGGTGATATTCTATCATGTGACTGTACAGATCAGGATGTAATAAATGCTATCAGACAACTAAAATGTAACAAATCCCCGGGCGATGATGGTATTCCCGCAGTTTTTCAAAGTTTCTGAACATAAAATAGTTCCCTATTTAGTATTACTGTTCAACAAGATACTCTCATCCGGCTTTTGGCCAAATTCCTGGTCAACTGGCATTATTATCCCACTACATAAGAAAGGTAGTAGATCTGACCCGAATAATTATAGGGGGATCTCTTTTCTGAATGCAATGAGCAAAAGTTTTGTTTCGGTTCTAAACAAAAGATTGGAGTACTTTTTGCAACTTCGTGAGATAATTGGAGAATATCAGGGTGGATTTAAGACAGACCATTCGACTGTGGACAGTATCTTTATTCTCCAGACAATCATTCAGAAGTATTTAACACGTAAAAATGGGAAGATATATATTGCATTCATAGATTTTCGCAAGGCCTTTGACATGGTTAATAGGTTTAAATTACTGTATGTTCTTTTGCAAAATTGGATCCATGGAAATTTTTTCAAGTTGATTAAAAATATGTATACTAATGTCAAGGCCACTGTAACCTATGAGTATGGTAAGAAATTAACTGAATATTTTGATAGCGCCTGTGGGGTTCGGCAAGGCTGTGTCCTTAGTCCGGTATTATTTTCTTTATATCTTAATGAACTTGTATTGACCTTAGAAAATAAGTTTGATGATGGTATATTTATCTCCGAAAATATGTTGAATATTATTGCTCTGTTATTTGCAGATGATTTGGTTTTGATAGCTGATACTGTTGTTAGATTACAGCGCCGCCTTGACGCCCTTCGTATGTATTCCCATAAATGGGGCATGGACATTAATACGGATAAAAGTAAAATAATTGTTTTTAAAATGGGTGGACCCTTGTCCCAACACGAAAAATGGTTCTATAATGGCATTCGAATGGAAACTGTCAATATTTATATATATCTAGGACTTATGATAACTCCCAAATTGATTTGGAGTAGGGCATGTAAAACATTATCTGATCAAGCTAAAAGGCACTGTGGCCGATCAAGTCATTTATAAGACGATATGATATGTCACTCTCAGAAGGATTTTATATTTTTGATAAAAAGATTGTACCAATTCTAACATATGGTGCTGAGATATGGGGTTTTAAAAAAAGAGAAAGTATTGAAATTGTCCATCGAAAATTTTGCAAATTTTTACTTCAGATTAGTTACAGATCATCTAATGCTGTTGCATATGGGGAATGTAGGAGGGCACCCTTAAGCAATGTTTATTATGTCAAATGTATTAAATCCTGGCTAAGATTATTAAGAATGCATCAAAGTAGATATCCATATCAATATTATCAATTTTGATTATCTCTTGAATTCAGGAAACGTCCCACATGGGCTCGGCATGTCAGTGATTTGTTATTTTATCTTGGCTTTGGCACTGCTTGGATTTCACAAGATGTCGGTGATACAAAAATGTTTCTATAAATGTTTACTGAAAGAATTAACAACTGCTCTATGCAATAGTGGCATTTGTCTCTAGATGTTCCTTCGCTGTCTTTCTATAAGTCCCATAAACCTCTGTTGACCTGTGAAAAATATTTATCATTGAACATAAGTAATAGGTGCAAGCGTCTGTTCACATTATTTAGATCAGGGTGTAATGCAGTAGGAATCAAATTTATTAGAAGACGTACTGCCTCCTGCAATGATGATATTGTATTATGTAAACACTGTAAAAGTATTGAGGATGAAATCCATATTGTCTATATTTGTAAACGCTATGAGGATATGCGTCGGCGTTACATTCCGAAAACGGTCCATGGATATTATTATTCACTCCGCAGCATATGTACATCATCCGACAATAACATCATAAATAATTTTGTCAAGTTCTTAGAACATGTTTATTCTGCTCCTGTTAGCGTTGTTGTATGAAAATGGTAACCAAAATCACTATTGTACCACCTTGTACGATGGGTCGTATGGCCTTTATACAAAATAAACCTTTCTTCTTCTTCTTCTTCTGTTTTCTTATTCAGTAATATATATGACAAATGCTAAGTCATTTCATCACTGTACAACCACTTGACACCCTACTTGGGATATTCAGTGACCATCAGTCCTCAACTGCTTACTATTTCTTGTATTTAATTCTGGTCAGACACTTCTCTCCCTACATAATGGAAGCTGACCACTTGTCAGCATATATTCATTGTAGGCTGTGTGCCATCACGCTGAAAATTATCAACAACCATTCCATGTACACATGATTACAGTCTGGCCTTTAAATTACAATAAAACAATTTCTGGTCAACTTGAACCGGCTAACTTTGCGAGCACAGGAAGCCACACACAGGAAGCTAAACACATCAACCCCTCAGGTCCGCACAAACTGTCACCTACTTGAACATATCTGTACACGCATAAGCATAAGTGATACAAATGACAGCATTAAATACTTAAAATGGTGGTCAGATTAAATGACTGGATGGAGGTGCTTTTAACAAACATAAGACACATTTCATTTCAGTTACGGCTCAGCGAGCAAGCGATTCTGTTCTCAGTGCATAGACAGCGCCCCATTCACGCATATCATATTGCTAACAGCTACAATCGTTTATTGTTCACAGATGTGTAAAATAAATACTCAGAAGTTCGGAGTTGTTCCTTGTGTACCAAATGACAGCGTATCTTAAACTGGCTAGTGATACCTTTGATTTAACAAAATGCACTCTGATATTTCACAACTTTTGACCTAATAAATACCAGCTAAATTCCCCCTCATATGCATAGTGTGATATTAATTCTACGATGAAAAAGGATTTTGCTGCGTGAACACTGGAGTCGGCAAACTCATACCACTAAGATAATTGAATAATAATCACACACCACTAAGGTGAACCTGAAGGTCACACACACACACCTGGGCCCCGTTCCTCAAAGCGATCGTAGCGCTAAGATGATCGTAACTCCCATACTTTAACATAGACTTACGACTGTCATAGCGTTACGATCGCTTTGAGGAACGGGGCCCTGGGCCGGAAAGGGGACTGCAAAGGAGGGTGGGGCTTAAGGGTTCAACAGTCGATTAGGTCACACAAAGGTCACACCTATGTGACATCCTAAAAACCAAAATGGCCTCCCAAAAATGCCTCACCCCCCTGTATACAACAGGCACAACGATATCGGGCACACTTACACAACGACATCGGGGCACGCTGACACAACGATATCGGGGCACGATTGCTTAGTTAATGCAAGTTTGACGAGGTACAATACATGTGAATCATTTTTCAGTTGGTTTATGACTGGTTTGAATAGAGATATAGCAGGACGGTTGTTTTCAATACTTACTAATATTCGCATCGTCGGAGACGTCTATCAGTATCATAGATTACTCATACAAGGTACTGACATTGTTCAAGAATGCATTTACATTCTATTCTGAGCTAAGGGACAGTTTGCAGACGAAAAAGCTGAAAGTGTGACCGCTGATAGAGCGATAAGAGCAGAATGTGTCCTTTTGTTAGACTGTCCACGCAAAACTACTTGTACCACTGCATAACTACTTGTACCACTGCAGAAACACCTAGTAGTGTTTTTTGTGGTATGTCATGAAAAGTTAAATTTCACTGACAAAACAGTTGTTGTTGTAGTAACAGCATATATTTATGATTATGGAAAACGATATATAACTCGCATTGAAGGGAATCAATAGATTTGTGCAATTTGCCCGTTTGTTTACGGTAAACAGAAACGTGGGATAACGTGTAAGGAAATTAATTTATGACAGTGATGTTATTTTGTTTCATTGCGGACCCGGAAAGTGTACCGTCCGACCAACCAGCCAGCAGCTGTGTCCGCGGTACCGCGTCAGCCAATCAAATGCTATGGAGTCAGGTGAACAGATTCCAACAGACGTCGCCGAGCTGTAATTATACCAGATCGACTTGTATTTGAGAGCGTGTATTTGATGCGATCACACGCACTTTATCAAAGGTAAGTGTTCTCTTTCAAATTACATATACATGCGCTGTTGTGAAATCCACGATTACATGTACAGATGTTGAGTTTTAAAACATTCATATATGTTTTATATTCACAAAACATGTTGTTTAAGTCATCGATTATATGATGAATGAAGAGCAGGGCTGCTTATAATGGCCCAGCAAAATAACCTTCGAGCACAGAATAGCAAGTAACAAATGTTAGGTCCAGTGATAAAAGTTTGGTTTCTTTTTTAGTTCGCTTGTGTCAGCTGACACTGTCTGTATAAATATAAACCCAGCAACATGTGTCTCATACATCACGCATAATCTAGCTGTATCGGGGCGGTCTAAATATATGGTCCATGCAAATCATGTCCAGATTAGACTTTCATCTAAGATTCACACCCTTGCCTATCTATTAATCAGCCTGAAAACCTGCTTCCAGTTACACATGCACTGTGATCGATTCATCAGTTTTATAAGTGTAGGTAATGCTTCGGCCCTATTCAAACACGTGGGTATACCCAGTGTGTAGACATTACAGATCATTGATATATATTTGTTTCCTTTCCGATAATTACAGATGACTGATCTACTACCAGCTCCGATAACAGACCTCCTTTCATGGCGTCTGACTGCTATTGTTATGGCTGTTCTCATTATCGTCACCTCCATATTCGGGGCAGTTGCTCTGTTCAAGGAGGAGATGATTGACGCCTTTGGTGTGGTTACAGATGTAACCACTATCATTATGGGCAATGTGATACAAAAACTTAAGAAGATCGTGATTCTCCTTCACTGCGTTGGATTGTCTGTGAAACAGGCAGGAAATAACTGAACGAGGACGCTACAGGCTATGAAGGTACGCAAAACTGATGCTTTCAAGTGTAATTTACATAAAAGCTAAGAATGCACAATGGCATTTAGAAAGTGGCCCTTTGTAACATATAGAATATCTGGGGGATTTTATTGTTGTTCGACCACGGGAATTGTGCCAATTTACGCTTGTCAGGTTGATAGAGAAAGTACATGATCTAGACTACTAGTTGTCAAACGTCTATTATTGTGGTTTGGAATCCCGGGTGGGACCCAAACCAAAAACGTCTGCCTCATTTTTCGTGTTTGAAATGATCAGCAATTTGCATTTGACGTTTGAACTACCAAATAGTCATAAACTGTTCAAGGTTGATTTGGGAATATTTCTTATGTTCCAGGTACACGGGAGGGAGCCGATGATCAATGGTTGCAGCAGTAACAGTGATGGATACATGGGGAACATGCATATATTGATATGATGCATTACATTTCTGCTGGACATTTTGTGTGAATGTGTGTTACTGTGTCTTCAGATACTTATAACCATTCTTTGTGGTATATTTTGACTGAACTCACACAATCACATAAGAAATAAAGCATATGGAAATCTTCAAATTGACTAGTCTCTTCAGTTTGTTTGCTATTGACAATGCGTGTTCATAGCTTTCAGTAGACGTGTCACGGTGTCGAACAGTTGGATCGAACCCGTCAAAATATGGGACACACAAGTTCCACCTCGTCCCAATAAAGGACAAACAATCTGAACCAGGTCACAATAAGGGACATGCAATCTGAACCTCGTCCCAATAAAGGACAAACAATCTGAACCAGGTCCCAATAAGGGACATGCAATCTGAACCACGTCACAATAAGGGGCACACAATCTGAACTAAGTCACAATAAGGGACACACAATCTGAACCACGTCCCAATAAGGGACATGCAATCTGAACCACGTCACAATAAGGGACATGCAATCTGAACCAGATCACAATAAAGGACATGCAATCTGAACCAGGTCACAATAAAGGGCATGCAATCTGAACCAGGTCACAATAAAGGGCATGCAATCTGAACCACCTCACAATAAGGGACATGCAATCTGAACCACGTCACAATAAGGGACATGCAATCTGAACCACGTCACAATGAACCACCTCACAAAGGGACACACTGAACCATCACAATCATGCAATCTGAACCACGTCAAAATAAGGGTGACAGAAATTCAGCCTCGTCACAATAAGGAACACACAATCTGCACTTCGACACAACGACGATTACAGAATCTGAACCACGTCACAATAAGGGGCGCACAATTTTTGCCACAATAAGAGAAACACAATTTAACTTCGCCAGAAAAAGGGACACACAATCTCAGCCTCGAAACAATAAGGGACCATGCACACTACCCAACACAAGGATTAGCACACTACCCAACACAAATCACCAACAAAACGTCCACAAGATGGCTGCATAGTTTTCATCAGGATAGGCATAGTTTTCAAGGCCCAGCACACTATCCAACACAAGACCATGCACACTACCCAACACAAGGTCCCGCACACTACTCAACACGAGGCCCTGCACACTACCCAACACAAGACCATGCACACTACCCAACACAAAGTCCTGCACACTACCCAACACGGGGCCCTGCACACTACCCAACACAAGACCATGCACACTACTCAACACAAGACCCTGTACACTACTCAGCACAAGGACCTACACACTCTACCCATCACAAGGCAGTGCACACTACTCAACACAAGGCCCAGGACACTACCCAACACAAGACCCCGCACACTACCCAACACAAGGCTCTGCACACTAGCCATCATAAGGCAGTGCATAATACTCAACACAAGGCCCAGGACACTACCCAACACAAGGCCCCGCACACTACCCAACAAAAGGCCCTGCACACTTCCCATCACAAGGCAGTGCACACTACCCATCACAAGGCTCTGGACACTATCCGACATAATAGCCTGCACACTACCCAACACATGGCCTTGCACTCTACCCTACCCAACACAAGGCTCTGCACACTACCCTGCACACTACTTGCACATATATTCATGACTTAAGGTTTGTCGTGTAAATATTTGAAACCTTTGAAGAGGCTGTACGATGATATACTAAGGAAACATCAATGTTTGCACCAGACATATATTTGCACAATTGCACTCTTGTTAAAGAAAGAACAATTAATTGATGTGATATTTAAATAATCTTCGTGCACTGAACGCTGTTTCGACTCACAAATCATGACACAGTGTCAAGTCGATCAGGATTGAAAACACAGTGTTATGTAATCATACTTAATATTTAACACGCTGCGACGGGCGTGTATTTCCGAATAAAGGAAATTGGCGAGGTAACAGTAATAGTGTTTTTTTTTTTCAGAGGCTTAACAGGTTGATTTACCGCCGTCGCCCGTGATGGATCCCCTTTCATGGCGTCTGACTGCTATTGTACTGTCTGTTCTCAATATCGTCACCTCCGTTGTCGCTGCATTTGCTCTGTTCATGGAGGACGTGGTCGAAGCCTTTGGTGTGGTCACAGTTGTAACCACATGTCATACACGGAATATGATCAACAGATTAAAGATCGTGATTAACATTCAGCGTGCGGGAGCGGGCCACGAAGTTCAGTTGCCATGGTGTTAGGAGCTCTTTAGTGTAGCCTGAATCCTATCACCGATTCTACAAGTTATAGAATTAAAAAGATTACAATCTTGACTGTACTCTTGTATGTGTTGGTTATTTGCTGTATGTGTCCGTAATTTTCATTGAGGGGCAGATAATGTGTAAACTTGAGTAAGCTGAGATGTTGATTTATATGATTGAATTTTGTTGTATATATCTTTATCACCGTGAAAACACCAAAATCAGTGTTCAAAGTTGAATTGATTTAAAATACGATGATGTCAAATAACTCTTATGAAACCTATGTCTCACAAGTCATTGGACACTACCTTTTAAAAGTGGAAATGAAAGTCTTTGTCGGCGTGAAAACGGGGAGCATGGCAACAAGGCAAAATGGTAATAAGTTCTCAGCCTAACAATGAATTCAAAAATAAACGATACAAAACCCTTTCCACATCCATAAGGAATCACGCTAGATTCTATTGTACAATGCTAACTGTATCATGAACATGTGTTTGTTTGTTTGTTTGATGAACGCCGCACTCAGAAATATTCCAACTGTATGGCGGCCGTCTGTAAATAATCGACATTGCAGAATCCCGGGATTGACATCATGATACATCATGATAGAGCAGGAGTTTATGAATCACTATCAAATAGTGATGACACCAGGTGTTCACGAGACGGTGAGGGTATCCGGCTCCACAACATGAACCCGTCATTAACATAAGGCAAGTCAGCTGTTTATCTGAAACGTTTCGGTAACGCATGGCACAAGTCAAAATAAAGAATTGCATCGGACATAATATTTGTCACTGGTGCATCAGTCTTTGAAATGTCATTCACACGTCTACCATAAAACGTTTTCAAAGCTTCACTGAGGGCTTAAATATTGTTGCCTTGATCGAGCAGCTTCTATACAAACAACCTTTAAAACTGTTCCTTAAACGAGCATCCAATGCCTCTGTACATGAGCTGTATATTCCTGAGAACGAAGGGTTGATAGTGTGTAATGAAATGTTGGAATGTCAATAAATTATTTTTGTTAATTAGAGTCTTATAAAATCTTTCATCAAGTGAAACCTTGACAGTATAATATGACGCTGAAGTGCAGAACTGCATAGCTTGATTGTTTAATATGGCAGAAATGCCCGAGGCTATGCATTTCTAAGAATGTATACCTAAGGTAACCACTAGGACCCACGAGCGTCGGAATAGTTCTGACAAATATAATCTTCATTTGGAAACACACGATATATGAATATGTCGGGGAAAGGACTTAACTCAGTCAGCTGCGACGCCTTAGACTACTAATAGGACCACCACTCATGACCCCTTGAAAAAGTAAACGGCATACATGTCAAACATGACCAGCACATGTGTTGTCAGAAAAGGCAAATGGCTTTGTCCCTAATGTTTATCCGGCAGTGAATGGGTACCCGGTAGGATAAGATGGTAATGTGACGTTAGCCTTTATGGTCACGGATGACTGAAACTGAATCGTGTGCAAACTGACCCACTGACCGGTACACTTGACTGATGATGTAGCGGCACGACCATACACGCGGTGAATGGAATTAGGCACATGATATCGATGTTTATTATAAAACGGAACACATAAAATAAACGTTCAGGCGTTGTGTCTGGGACACTTGTGTTGCGTCTTCCTCAACCACTTCTCCAACTTCGTCTGGTGTTGCACGATGAACCAGGATTTTACCAGGCATGTTGAAACTTGGTCACATTACAAATTTAATTGAGTTAATGGCAGTTATTTGATAAAAGTACGTATAAGTCACATAAAAAGTCGGCATTTAATGCAGTGTACCAATGGAATAAAGTAAGGCCAGAAATGCTTGGAAAATGCTTTTTGGCAATTATTTGATAATTGTTGATATTTCACATTCAAAACTCATATATAATCATTCATACCACCTCGACCTAATATGGCATATGAGTAATCACGATGTACATTCCCTAATCATAATGATTACTCGTAAAATATCGAAAACTTAGAAAAAAATACATGGTAGAAACACTTTAAAGAAACAAACTATACTGTGACCCACCTGGCAGACAGACAGGGTGACAGCGTTACGTAACCCACGGGCAGTGCATGTCAGGGACCGTCTCAAAATATCAAGTGTCAGTATCACTGCTGGTCGAGGACTCTAGCGGAATTACAACAGGTGCAACTCGGCTGACGTTAACGCCGTCCCGCAGACGGTATTCGTCCTCGATTTTGAGAACACGGTCTTCAGCCTTTTGCCACACATCTGGGGGTAATTCTTGCAAAGAAGCATACACAAGCTCTTTAATATCTGAATTCTAGCAAAAGTTACCGGTTGGCAACATGGTCTTTGTATGCGCATAGTTCCTTGAAAGAATATATACTAGCTTGGGGACAAATACACCTCTATGAACAGACTAAAAGTAAAAACTTGTTGCGGTGAAAATGAAAAATACAAGAAGATTCCCCAAATAGGAAAAGGGATCAGTTGACAACCTGGGCTTAGTGTATTGCCAAGTAGCACGACATTATATCATTTAGTTCTGTCTCTACAGTCAGACACACACACCGCTATGAGTTGCTTCCTGTATTGTGCATTGTATTAGTCAGTCAGAATAATATAATTATGCCTTTGCCCGAAAGAAACGAGCTGTCGATTAGCGTTATAGTGCATGTAAACACACACCCTTTGAAATTACACCAGTACGTTAACAGTTGCCTAATCCGGCAGGTGCGTGGCGGGTAACAAAACGATTTGATGGCGACACAAGATTGAATCGACATTCCGCTACACAGCGCGCCGTACCATAACGCCAACAGTCAGACATATTGTCCCGGTAAGACTGGCTGGAGTTTTCACCTTATAGGTTACTTCACCTACGATTCCTCCTATTGCAGCAGCTAGTAGTAGTGTAATGATTAACCTCAATCTGTCTCAATCAAACTTGTAGC